GGAATGGCAGCAGTGGCCCCGTTCTCCCCCTTTGCAGGCCAGCATTCCTCCGACCCTGCTACACTTCACTCCCAGCTCCGGTTACCGCACCGCCACAAACACGTTAATTATCACCAAGGCCTCAGGCCAGGGCTCCAGCAACTCGGCAGCAGCTTTGCAGCTCCTGCCCTCTCCCCCTCAACATGCTCAAACCAACCAACCTTTCGCAGGGCTGTGAAGTGAACAGATCAAGGGTTTAAAGAAAAAAAACAAACAACACAGTAGAAAAAGGTGGCAACAAGTTTTGCAGAGTTAGAAAGGAAAAGATGGGTGGGAGAGGAGTGGGAATGTTTCTGGGGTAGGTTCAGGCTTTAATTCACAGGATTACGTTTCAAACTGTCACCCTGGAAGTACAGGAATGTCACGGGTGGGGGAAATCATTCTTCAGGCCCACGCTGAATCCTTTCAATGAAGAAACCACAGCAAAACAGGCTGCAGTGTACTTGAGTTCTGCTGGGTACTACATGAAGTTGCACCAATTTACTGATGGGCAGCACTGAATACACGTTATCGAGAATACGCTATTTTAAGCCATGCCTAAGGCCATTTAGTTTGAAATCACAGGTTTATACCGAGTTTAAGCCCACCTAAGGTCATTAGATTTAAGGCCCTTGGAGACAGCACTAATTTACATCTGGTCTTCAAGATACTCAGTTATGGTATGTTTGCGTAACTTGACATTACAACGACAGACACAGCCTCCGAGATTTCCTTACAGCCGAGATCTAAGTGAGGAAATATGGTTTGCCGAGTAAGAAATACTCCCTGCTTCTGCCCTGGGTGGATCGGTTTCCACACCACTGAGCTCCTGAAAAGCAAGGAGGGAAGAATCACCACACAAAACCAGGCCTAATGAGGAAGACAATTACTGCGGGGGGGCGTGGGGGGAGTCCTAGTTAATCAAAAATCTCTCTGTAATCAGCAGTAACAGGAAAGGGAAAAGTCCCCCAATTGGACAGAAAACATTTCTATTGGCCAGCAGTCCCCAGTTCTTTCTATCATCTCTGCTTCACAATTCTTGGACTCCCCAGATCTGGCAATCAGAATTAGAAATACTGTCAATATGCCAGGTGTTATCAGCACATTTTGGGATAAAGCACGAGCAAATCGCTTGCTACAGACCGTGTGTTATTTAGGTAACTCCTCGCCACATCATGAATGCAAGCTGCTTTTAAGAGGCTCTGGTAAATTAAATCTTTTGGCCCTTACCCGAGTCTCTGTAAGGTTTGAGGAAATTCTGTCCCTTTGCATCACTTCTGTGTCTTTCCTATCGCAACTTACTAATGACATCTGTGATTTAAATTTAAGAATTTCAAGCAAACCCGGGCACTCTGTCCTCACCCAGCTCTGGGGACAGCACTTGCAGACCTGCCAACGCCGTGCAATACACCTGGATGGCAACAGCTGTCTTGCCTCACCTACAGATTGCTTCACTTCGAGGAGCTTACATCATGGGTCTGACATAGCCCGAACTTCAGGTTTGGGCTTTATGATCTTTTTTTCTAAGCTGCACAGCACATGATTAAGGGACAGAATGAGGTCAGCTGCTTATTACGGGCTAATTGTTACATTCCCTGAACTAGAATGCCAGTAACTGCATTGGAGAGTACAAGATCTCTGCAAAACCAGAGATCACATTCTAAAATTAGAGCGCTAATGAAGGCTCATTAATAGGCAAGAAGAATCCCTCTAGAATTCTGAAGCTCGTGCTAAATATGTAGCTATCTGTATAATCTCAAATGCACTCGACACGTATAGCATCTCAAAGTTCCTTACTTGCTTACTGTACAACTATTAGCAAAGACTCTACACCGGCTATCGAACCCCAACGCCTCCGGTACTTACAGAGGTATCTGCAGCATTCAACTGAACTTTCAAGAAGGACTCAAGGTCTCTGAGAAACCAAGCAGCGAGGATGCAAGTCTCTTCTGACAGCTATCTTAAGGCGTTCTTTGGTGTACCTGGACTTGTTTGCTGAAGTCACACGTAAGGGCACTGATGCTTTCGTTACAGCGCACTCATCTTGAAGTAGCTTCCTCTGTTCTAAAAGGAGAGATTATCAGATTAGCTACCAACATACTAGTGAATGGGTTTAGTAAAACTGTGGTTCTACGGTTTCCTGTTCTATGTAAATTAATTTCAGAGAAATGCGTCAGGCCAGTGGCTTCCATCTGCAATTAACGACCTGCTTAAAGGAATTATTAGAATAAAATGGCTGAGCTTCTCACAAAATACACATCACGTACCTCATACGCTTCTCATCACAATTAAACACATCCTTGCTTTAGTTCAGTAACATCAAGAACTCCAGGCTTTCATCCACAACAGAGGTCTGGAATACGACCAGAAAGCTAATAAGCCACCCAACTTCCAGATGCAGGATGCAACCTGATGAGTGCTCAAGTGTGAGGAGAAAACAAAGTAGGTTTGTTTTGTTTGGGTTTTTTTATTTGTTTGTTTTTTTAAAAAAGAGACACTTTGAATTTGCTTGTAGGTGTGTATTTCTGTTACAAAAGACACGCAACGAGCTGAAATCTGTTCACTGCATCACATAATAGCAGCGGTATAAACAGTTTCTTTGTAAAAGAACAGGATCAGGCCTCTCACCCACCAGCACGCAGTCCACAGTGTTTGCTCTAGCTGAAATACAGCCATTTGGGGTAACTGTTTAGCAACAAGCAGCAACAACTCATGCCAATTCAATCACCAAGACAGCAGCACACGCTTTTCTGTTGTTCCCATACAGTCTTCAAATAACCATAATTCAATATTTTGGAAAGTCTAAAGCCCGGAACATTCCAGAAAGAACAGATACCCAGCTGTGTTTTTTTTTAAATGGATAAACTATTAGACTCCTCCTTCCTAAGACGTGACATACCAGAATATTTCCAAAATAAGACTATAACAGAAGTAATCTGCTTATTCTTTTTGATGAGCATTTTTCTGATGGATATAGTGCACATCACAGAAGCAGAGGTATTTTGCCCTTATCTGCACTATACATCTGCAGCTGGGGGGAAGCCTGTTTGCCATCTCATGCGCTTGTATCAAGCAGCCATTTTTCCTCCAACTGGCAGGCAAAACTATTTTTTAGCTTTGTAAAAAAAGTCTGTGTGCTCCAGCATACCTGTGGTAACAGAATAAATACAAAAGGAATCAAATGGCCAATACAAAGTTAAAAATGCATGTTTTAGAAAAGAGTAAGGAAATCAGAACTGTAAGAAAAATAACAGCAAGAAGTAATTCCTCCTCCCACACATCAAGCCCACGGAACTGAAACGGTTTCCACATCACACAAAGCAGCTCACCCTCGAAATGCTGATGTTGAGAATCTGTACACGAAGCAATGCAACTTTGCTTCAGAAGGTGAGGGAAAACACATCAAATATTACCTGACAACAACATGAAGTATATAAACATGGCAAAACCAAGACAATATGTGTATTTGCATAATTCAACATCTCTACAGCAATGCAAGTGAAGAGGCATGAATTCTTTTTATATCATTTTAAATGTCAGTGCTGTTTACAGAATGTGAAGTGCTTTGAGTCACTGCTGTAAAACCTTTTAGTACTGGAATAAAACTAAACTGCATTTAAAAATAAATGTTCATGTACAGACTTCAAGTGATTACAGGGTTTAGTAAGGATTGAGGAAATGAATGTAATTCTCCAGCACTGGCTCAGTTCTGTACACACAGAAATCAGTCAGCTCCAAAAGTGTCCTGCACGTCAAAGCTGCCCAGCGTACCAAACTTCTCCTTTGCACATAATGCCTTACAAAAAGGCAAAATTAATTCAACAACCACAGCAAGAGAGAAGTGCTGCTTTCAGCCACACCCGAGCAACTCCCCCAGGCTTCGACGGGACCGTGAGCCCAAAGGGTAGCACACAAACGAGAGAGCAAGACCTTTCCCACAAAGGAGTACAAACCACTGTATTTACACATCGATCAAGCACACTTAGCCCTGGACAGAATGTAGACACTGTTTTCATCAGGAACAACAGGCTTCTTACACACTTCAGATTCTAACGCTTCTGGTTTTAGCAGGAATTTTTTGAAATGAAAGTTGCAAATAGCTTCCAATACATTGAAGTCCTTTACACTTAATAAATAAGAAGCATCAAGAATCTTCATGGCACCGAGATGCACAGAACTATGAAATCGTTACAGAGTCTATTTAAAAAAAAAAAAAGAAATTAAGAAAGTCCTTCGTTACTGCAAAAATCATAGTTTATGTTCTTGAAAGACGAATGGCCCTGGTGCTATGCTGAAATGCCAAGACGAGTAGCAGGATGAGAGGCCGTTACTGCATGCCAAACCACTGTTCTTGATCTGCCCACTGCGCTGCTTCACTGTCACTGCCTTCCAAGTCCCCCTCTTCCCCACTTCCCTCCATATCATCCACGTCTTCTTCCTGGGTTGCATCTGTCGGACTTTCCTCTTTTTCCATTTTCTGCATTCCTTCTAGTGACTTCTGATCATTTGGATCCAAACTGAGGAAAGAAAAACAAAGTGCTGTCCTAAAACTTTTTTTTTTCCTCTTATTTGTGACGTTATTGTAAAAAAAGGAAAAAAAATCTCATCCTGTTGTCTGCACTTCCTGTTTAACATCAAGGAGTTCAACTTAGTAGATGATGCAACTTCACCTCAGGCTGACCAGAATGTCAAGTATTAAATCTTTATATAAACCAATTTTGGTCCCCAAGAACGCGCTTATCTAAACATCACACTCTTCCAGAAAACTTCGTCAACTCTTCCAGACAAAAGTAACATCAAAGCAGGAAAAATTTCAGTGACTATGACTAAACATACCATATGCAAGGAAAAAACAGCTGACCCTTTTAAGCTATAGAAGTCTATAGTGGACATAATGTGCTAGATTTAAGGTAAATTTAACTTGTTGAAATCAAAACACGGTAACATTTAACATGGTAAGCACCCTAAAGGAACACGTAGGTTACGTTAAATTGAATCATACGATTTAAATTTACTTAATGGCTTATTTTCATATAGCACCTTCTAGTCTAAAGGAATGGATCTTAAGGTGCCTGACTATGTAATAATTAATAACTAAATTCATGCCTTAATCCTTTCATTAGTCAAGGAACTGCATGCCTAGCATTAATGCAGTCCCTAAATTTTGCCTTTCTCAGTTCAAAGCCTGACGACCAACTAATTCATTACCAGAAAATAATTTGTATGGTTTGGGTTGTTTTAAGGGAGAGTAACGTAAAGCTACCTCTGATGTACTACCTACTCAACTTTTTATTTACTCAAGCTGACTATTGGTTCTTACAAATACTGTGCAATCTCCGAGTCCCTGCTTTACCTCAGGGCAATGCTGTACTGGTCCATTGCTTCCTGGTACTCGTTGACAGCTACGAGAAAGTCTCCCAGTATTCGGTGCAGAACGCAGTCACTCTGATTAGCCAGTGCATTCCTCAGCAAAGCAATTCCATCTTCATACTTTTGTTCTCTACCTGTTTATATGCAAAACTACCATTTTAATTAATAGTTTAGATAAATCTCCAAAAAGCCGAGTGTAAACAAAGAGCCATCACGACACAAGACTATTTCTTCTTTCAGAACTGTCAGCATGAGGGATAGCAGCAAAATACTTTTTTGCAAGATTAACTCTGAACAATGGCGCTTTTTTATTGCAATAACTGCTACGCTCACAATTACACATACTTTGAAGTCAAAACATTTCGTTTGCAATTGTTTTCAGTGCTGCTGTAGTATCAGTTGCTAGGCACAATTAATTCCAGTGATTTTTCCTTCAGGACAGAACTGATAAATCCCTAATGTTACATTCTTCACATCAATGAGACTGCAGAACACCCTTCCATGTAAAACTGTATGCTCTGAATAAGTTGACATGGGGGAAAAAAAAAGGAACTTACTAAGAAGTTCTGCTTTCTTTACCACAGCTTTAATGTAATCAGGTCTTTGCGTTAGCGCTTTGTCCAATAATGTTTTTGCTTTTTCCTGCGTGACTGGGTCTTCCAGACAGACTGTTGCCAACAGGGTGAGTGTCTGTGCATTTGCTCCCAGGGTTTTATATACATTATTTGCCATAACCATAGCTTCACGGATACTGTTGGATGCTAAGTAACATTCGATGAGACCTGATGATATAAACAGGGAAACATTTCAGCTTTTGAGTTAGCACTACAGACACTCTCCTCAATTATTTGCATTCGGTAGCACTCAGACTCCAAACACCTGATGCTCCAACAAGCAAATACAAATTGCAATTGAGAAAATAACTCCACATCCAACATTTTTTAAAGGACAAAGGTGTCAAAGAAACTTGCAGATAGGGAAACTTGGACACAAATATTAAAATGGCACAGAGTTCTATACGGAACCTAAGACAAAGGTAGGAGATGGATGACCATCTCCCAGGACCAACATCTGGCAAAGGACTAAGTTGTGACAGGTTACACGTTTCTTCCTTAACTGCAGAAGCACAGCTATTCAAGCAAATATAAAACTGCATTACAGTATTTCTCAGCACATGCCTTTCACTTTAGCAGGGAATCTACAGCACTGTGCCCACCACAAAGCACAAGATATGGAACTGGAGGAGCTGGGAGATTCACATTAGCATTCTCCATTTCGAATAAATGAAAAAGTAAAAAACAAAACCAGTATTTCACTGCTGAATATTACAGCACAATCAATTTGGTTTTACTTAACCAATAATTGCATAGAAGGCAGACAAGTACCACTGAAAAAAACTGAGAGCCAGGAAATTCTAAGAAAACAGACCCTAGAACACATCACCGTATTACAAACTGGTGCAAGGTTTAACACTTCTCATACAATTCTTTTGTGTATTTTCATAAGCCTACATTTTGACGTATCTATTCTACAGATAATTGACATTATAATTTTTATTTATGGCGAGGGACTTAAAAAAATTGCCTAAGTACACTTTTATTTATAGGGAGGTACTAAAAAAATTGCCTAAGACTAAGTACACTTAATCTAAAATTTTTGTTCAATTCCCATACTGAGATATTAATACTTCACCTGGACTCCTCACAACTCACTATATACTTGAAGCTGCTGTTGAGATCAACAAGGTTTAAACAAATATGACAAAAGTATGGCAAAATGAAGCTCCCAGTGGAACTAACCATACAGTTAACATCATCGTCCAAAAGTGATGTGCTCAAAATACCCAAGTCTGTTTATATCCAGATTAAATAAAACAAATAAAACAGAAGAAAGCCCTTTTTGCAAAGCATACTTACAAATACATGCATTGTCTAGTATCTCTCATCTGACTGCTTCTACCAGAGCTTTACAGGTTTTCAGGTAATGATAATTTACTTAATGGGAAGTCAACAGGAGAGAAGAACTCCTGTCTGTTCCCTTGCCTCATCATCGTCACACCACCTTTCCCACCAAACCAAGACAGTACATGCGAGGAGCTTCACTCCGCTCACCTTCATAGCAATCCAGCCTGCAAGGTGCAAGACGTATTGCTTCACGGAAGTGTATAATCGCTTCCTGTACTCGGCCCATGTTCCGAAGAGCAGCTCCTTTCAGCAGCAGAGCTTGAACGCTGTTACTATTAAGCTGGATAGCTTTGGCTCCTAAGTATAAGGCACGAGAGTATCGTTTACTGTAGAAACTATGACACCTACGGAAAGACAAAAGGGACTGTAAACATGTACTGCCTGTGGTGCCTGTGCACCTCCATAGAGGTTTAAAGCAGAAAGAAAAAAAAAAAATAAAAAAAAAATTAAAATTACAGGCAACTGATGAACTTCTTGCATTCGACATTAAGAATGTATGTTCAGGAAAAAAAAACCTCTTCAGGAGTTTAAAAAAAAAGCAGTATGAACATTAACTGTTACAGCCACTTAATATCTCATTGTTATTGCACAGGTGAGGCAACTCCAATAGGTTTAAACACACAGAAAACAACCAAAAGAGACATTTATGGATAGCTAATTTAAGTTACCCCAAGAACAGAATAGATAGGATAGAAAAGCACCTTCTGAACAAAAAAGCCGAATCCACTATATCAGCTGTAATCCACTGCACGCAGCAAATCGAGAGTTGAGGTAAGAAAGCAAAGAAAGCAACTTACCCAGATACCACCCAGGGTTCTGCATGTTGATCAGAAATATTGAAGAGACGACAGCCCAAGTTCTCCACATCCTCTAGTCGACCTTCACGTGCCAATAAATAACCATACACATCCATTCCTAAAGTGAATCGTTTGAAGATCAATCATCAAGAAATGGAAAGTTCATTGACAACAAGAAAAAGCAAGAACCAACCCACAAACACCTCCTTTAAACTGTGCAACTGCCAGTAACCGCTCAAGACACACAGCTTCTGAAAGTAAATTCTGAATTGAAAGCCAGGTACAACGATATACAATATTCCACTGCACACTCGATCACACGTAGCTGCTACTCTAATGTTACTCATCAGATCATTACACTAGGTAAACTTTCTTTTAGGATTTACTCACCTTTTATTAGGTAAGGATCCAGCATTTGTGCTTGTTCAAATTTTAGAATAGAGTTTTTATTATCTCCGGCTCTGAAATACAGGTCTGCTAAGCTCCCCAGTAAGTCTACATTATCCCTCAGCAATGACTTTTTCTCTAAAGAGCTTTAAGAAAAAAAAAAAAAATGCCCGTTATTTATAGAATGCCATTTGAAATATAATTATATATAAGTATTAATACATTATTTGATTACTTCGTACTCTTTGAACTCTTACCAAATGGTATTTATTGCTCTTGTGTTATCTCCAGTATGCACAAAAGCATAGGCCTTGATCCACACGGAAAGCCAGTCCAAGTTAGGAATGCTCTGAATGATGTTGATCGTCATAGAGGCCACTTCCGCACCCTTCACTGACAGCGAGAGCAAGCCTATTCAGAACGGTATATACATCAATTTCAGCCACCAGAAACTGCTTTTAATATAAATTAGCTGTCTGAAGACTAGAAACTCCATTGAACGGTATATACATCAATTTCAGCCACCATAAACTGCTTTTAATATAAATTAACTGTCTGAAGACTAGAAACTCCATCCCCTGACAAGCAGAAACAAGCAGCTTGCTACAACGCTTTTTATAATTTGCATCATGTAGACATTACATATTACATGCAAAGGCAAGACAGTTGCCTGGTCCCAAGCATAATTCAAATTATAACACTGTTTAATACTGAAATACCAGCAGTGTGCACACACCTACCTAGTATGGCATCGAGTGCTAAAGGACACTGTCTCAGCACTTCTTTGTAGCTTGTAACAGATGAGCGTTCTTGACCTGCTTTCTTGTATAGATTTGCCAACATCATATTGATCTACAAGCAATAGAAACGTCGGTAGAGTCAAGCATGAGAAAGGAGAAATCCTCACTAAGAAAAGGTCACAACTTCAGACTTCAAGCACGCCTGCCTGCCTCCCTTCTGTTCTGGACAGAAGACAAAATTACTCGCTCCTCTTCCGAGAACACTGTAACGTACCATATAGTATAAAATTTAAATTGCTGCTTCTTTCTGAGTCCAAAGATAAAATTTACATTATTTTGTATTTGCACAGTGCATGTTGAGACCTCAGTGTTTTGCATATACAAAGTCAAAAGATGGGCAAGCGTTTATATACAACGCCAAGAAGGACCTGCATATCCATTCCATCAGCCGCCTGTCAGTTGGTCTCTGCATATCAGAGAGATGTTTTTGAGAGAATTAGCTTAGGAAGGCAGAGAAGGTTTCCATTTAGCTTCTGAATGAAGTCACGACTGATGACAGAACAGAAATTGAGTTCTACGTGACACAAGTAGCTGGTTTCTGCTACAGTATTTCACTAGTGCGTATAGGCAAAAAGGTTGCTTTTCTCAATCTTTGCTTCTTTTTCTGTTCCACAAGCTGGTCTTTAAACAGAACACTTTGACATTACTAGAGTCGACGCCACACACGCTGTTAGCACAATACAGGAATACTGTTAACGCGAAACACAGTTGACTGACCTGATGTGTTAATCTTTCAAGCTCTTATGACTAACAGAGCCAGCAAGCAAAGACCCCACGTATGTGGTGCTGCAGACCACAATGGGGATCTAAATATTTAACATTATCTAAACTGTAATTAAAAAGGATGTGAAGTTTTTCAAAGATGGAGCACTGGCATTCCTTCCACCTGCCAAAGCCTTCAGCCTTTCAAGGACCTTATGTTGCTCACACTATACAATAAGACATGAAGTCCTTACAGATTCAGCATTCAAGAATATATTAAAGCACTTGCTCAGTTTGAGCAATCACAACTTCGCTAGTTTCGTTGACTGGCTAATAGTGAAAACACCACAGAGCAGTCAACTTTGTGAGACAACTAGGCTACAAGTCTCTCCTTCAGCTCTAGCTGGTGCCAGCGTGCCCTTCCTGTCCAGTGACACACAGCCCTTCCACGGAGGCTGGGACTCTGCTTTGTGGTTACAGCCAGGCAACGTACATTCATTTAAACAATTAGCTTTGGCTCTCACATTCACACGTTTGACTCACAACTGCAGAATATTATTCAGTCAGGTATCTGGCAACTTGCAGTAACTCAGCTGTTTGCAATCATATATATTTTTTTTCTCCTGGTAGATGCTTTTGTTTAGACCATCCGCTATTCTTTGCCCTATGAAAACTACTCATAATAACATGCAAAGAAGAACTATCAAATGGAGGATACAGATTTCAAGCTTATGTATGGATATACAAATACTTTACAAAACTCTAGAATAAAAAAATAGCGTTTCTATATCCTTGTACACAAGCAAAATTCTGTACCTTCTGTGTGCAGTACTATAGAGTTAACCAGGTAATTCACAGAAATTAATAAAGATGCACACAAACATTTAACTCTTAATGTTTTTTTTAATTCTTTCTAACTGAGAGAATACAAAATTTGTCTGATTTTAAAGAAAAGCCAAATAAACTAAGCTAATTTAAACATTAGGAAGTGCTTCCAAACAACATGTAACTAATACGAAAGCAAACACCAAGACACAATGACATTATACCTATAGGCTACGTCCTTTTTTGACCAGATACTAGCCTACAGATTCACAATATGCTGAAAGACACAATGACATTATACCTATAGGCTACATCCTTTTTTGACCAGATACTGGCCTACAGATTCACGATATGCTGACCAAGGTTTTGTGACAAAAATGTGCCAAAACTAACCTTTGGGGTCCTCTGTCTGGAAGGAATCCCATCAAGGATAGCAATGGCATCTTTATCTTGCTTCAGCATTGTATAACATTCAGCCATTTTATATTTCACTTCAATTTCAGATGGTAAACACTGAAATAAAAAACAAACTTTAAGTACAATGTTGTTTTAGTCAAGTAAAAATACTGAATAAGGTTTCCTCATTAAATGCTTACACTATGTTGTAAAAATCTCATGCAACAACGTTAACAACGCAACCTACTGCTGGCTCATACCGCTCCTGTCTTTAAATGAAAAGCATGAACTACATATACAAAAAATTCTCATGTTCAAGACCATATTAAGTTTTCTAAGGCAAAACACAACAAAAAACTGGTATTTTCAAAATGAATTAGCCTTAAACATGAGGTTTATCTGACATGATAAATCCACTCTCTAAGGTATTTAAAAGGCATGTCGACGTGGTGCTTAGGGACGTGGTTTAGTGGTGGACTTGGCAGTGTTAGGTTAATGGTTGGACTCAATGATCTTAAGCATCTTTTCCAACCTAAATGATTCTGAGAATATTGAGTCAGCAACATTAATTTTAAGAGGGAACACGACCATTTTATGCGGCACATTAGTCAATTTTTAAATACCTGGCTTTGGGGAGTTGACGCAGCATTCCCAGTAGAAGGTCTTACTTTTGAGGTTTTACTCAATGCTTTTTTCTGCTGCAAGGCCATTGTATACTTACTGACAGCATTTCTATACTCCTTATCATGAAAGAGAGAGTCTGCATGATATACAAGGAGCTGGTACTTCTGAGATGGTGAAAACAGTTCCCTAGCAGAAATGCAAACAGAAAAGCTGCGATCAGCTGACTGCATAAGAATGAAAACCTTACAGATCCAAAGTATTTGTAGCTTTGGCTTGCCTGGCTTACACCTCCAACTGCTGCTGCTTCTTTACTACACTGGAAGGGCCCTGGGGTAACAGATATTACCTCCTCACAAAGGGATTATCTAACCATTTTCTTTTATCTGTATACAAACAAGCATAATAGCCACTCCTGACACCTCATCGGCAACAACAGCTTCGGGAGCAGCCCCCATCCCCCATATAACAAACCACATGTTGTCAACATTGATTAAAGCACATTTTGTTTGAATGGACTCGAGCTTCCCAGGCAATCCAGCTCCTTGTACAGCTATCCTGGTCCTGATCCACACCTTCCTACATTTTACAAACCCCCTCTATAACCCTTCCAGTACGTCTGTAGAAATGTTGAAGAAGTGTTAAGGGTTTCAGAATGGTATTTTGGCTTCCATTGGAGCCTCAAAACCCCCACAAAAAGTTAAATGCTACTTTACAGGGAAGTGCTGAACAATGAGTGGGCTCACTCGAACCATGGGCAGAGCCGTGACCGACACGGGGCACCCCTGGGAGGCGAAAATCGCTCCACCTCCGCCGTACCGTAGGGT